TAACAATAAGTGTTTCCTGAGCACAAAATCAGCATATCAGAATGATTTCCAAAGGATCATATGACACTAAAGATTAATTAATGACTGCTGAAAATTCAGCTTTGCATCATAGGAATATAAAATGTATAAAATTGTAATATATTTCACAATATTACTGTTTTTACAGTATTTGTGAGCAAATAAATGCACCTTGGTGAGCATAAGAGACTTAAAAAAAAAATAAAAATTAAAAAATTAAAAAATCCCCAGACTGGTAGTGAAGGGTAGTGTATATACAATATAACACACATATAATAAGCATAATAGTATGCAATATTACAGTTTTACTGTATTTTGAGCAAATAAATGCACCTTGGTGAGCATAAGAGACTTAAAAAAAAAATTAAAATAAAAAAATAAAAAAATCCCCAGACTGGTAGTGAAGGGTAGTGTATATACAATATAACACACATATAATAAGCATAATAGTATGCAATATTACAGTTTTACTGTATTTTGAGCAAATAAATGCACCTTGGTGAGCATAAGAGACTTTAAAAAATTAAAAAAAATCCCCAGACTGGTAGTGAATGGTAGTGTATATACAATATAACACACATATGATAAGCATAATAGTATGCAATGTTACTGTTTTTACTGTATTTTGAGAAAATAAATGCACCTTGGTGAGCATAAGAGACTTTAAAAAAAAAAACCCAGACTGGTAGTGAATGGTAGCGTATATACAATATAACACACATATTATAAGCTTTTTGTTTACAAAATAGACATGTTATGCAGTGGTGAAAGAACAATTTTCACTGAGCAATCTGAGTTTTATAATCAACATAAAATATTGTCTAATATACTTTTACAACAAGCTGAAAAAAATTATTTCAGCTTCCCAGTTGCACAGTAAATATGTTTATTTTCCTTTGACACTGTGCTTTTTCTGACTCCTCTAGAGTGTCCCGCTCAGTTCTGGGGTCCAGACTGCAAGGGCATGTGCACGTGTCACCCTAACGGTAAATGCGACGACGTGACCGGGAAGTGCACGTGCTACCCAAACCGCTGGGGTGAGAACTGCCAGAAGCCCTGCAACTGTCAGAAAGGGAAATGTGACCAGGAGACGGGCAAATGCACCTGCCATGCCGGGTACTGGGGGCCGCAGTGCAACAACAATTGCTACTGCAGCATCAACTCAGTGTGCGACCAGAACATGGGCCGGTGCATCTGCAACCCTGGTTGGTTCGGCCGGAACTGCGGCGCTCAGTGTGTATGTAACAACTCGCCTTGTGAGCAGTTTACGGGCCGATGTCAGTGCAGGGAGAGGCTCTGGGGTCAGCGCTGTGAACGGCACTGTCAGTGCGCCAATGGGAAGTGTAACCCTGTGGATGGATCATGTACCTGTAAACCCGGATACAGAGGAAAACTATGCCGGGAGCCGTGTCCAGCTGGATTCTATGGACAGAACTGCAAAAACAAGTGAGGAAAAAATTATGTAGAGTACAATAAGTCTCTTATGCTTACTGTGGCTGCATTTATTTCACCAAAAATACAGTAAAATAAAAATACAGTAACCAAAAATACTGTTAAAAAATTACAGTAAAAAAAAATTAATATTGTGAAATATTATTTCGATTTCAAATGACTATTTTCTATTTTGAAATATTTTAAAATGAAATGTATTTTTTATGATGCAAAGCTGAATTTTCAGCATCATTACTCCAGTGTCTTAAGTATCACATGATCCTTCAGAAATTATTCTAATATGCTGATTTACTCCTCAATAAACATTCTGTATTATTAAATCTCAATGCTGAAAAAAAGTTTTGCTGCTTAATATTTTGGGGAAACTGTGATGTACTACCATACTAAAAGTATACTACCATATACAAAAGGGGTAAGTAAGATTTAAAAAAATAAAAAAAGTGAAATATTTTTTTTTCTAGCAAGGGTGCATTAAATTGATCAAAAGTCACAGTACAGACATTTATAATATTACAAAAGATTTCTATTTCAAATAAATGCAGTTGTTTTGAACTTTCTATCATCTATTCATCAAAGAATCCTGAAAAAAATAATATTAGAGTTACCACAAAAATGTTAAGCAGCAAAAACTCAATATTGATAATATTAAGAACCATTATTTACAACAGAGCACCAATAATAAAAGCATCAAATCAGCGTATTTCACAATATTACTTTTCAAAACAGTAAAAAAAAAAAAATGTGTACAGAATATTGGTGTTTATTTTTATGATGCAAAGCTGAGCTTAATATTTTTGTAATTTTATTGCCATAAAATCATTGAAAAAATATATATATTTGTTAGTTTTGCAATACAAATGTCAAAAAATTCTTAAATCAAATTTAAAAAATTCTTAAATCAAGATATTACTTGAAAAGCAAAATGACATAAGATATTGTTTTCTGAATAAAATATCGAAATTAAGTGAGTTAAAAAAAAAACTTACAATAATAGAGTAAGAACAATAATCTTGTTTTCCTTTTGAATTAAGTTGATTTTTTTCTGACCTTATTAGCAGATATTTGTCCTTGTTTTAATAATAATTAATAATTTATTTTTGTTTTAAACAAACTCGCATCATTTTGATTTGAAAACAAGACTTAATATCTAAAGTATTTTTGTTTAGATATTTGACAAGACAAAAGTACTGAGTAAGATAAACATTTTTGGTATATTGGTTTTGACTGTCTTTTCTTGTTTCTGTTGCTCCAGGTGTGGCCACTGTAAAGGCCAGCAGCCCTGTAAGGTGACGGAGGGTCACTGTGAAACGTGTGCGAGCGGCTGGAACGGGACAAAATGTGATCAGATGTGTGCAGAGGGTTACTTCGGAGAGAACTGTAAGGATCAGTGTCCGCCGTGCAAAGACGGTCACTTCTGCAACCGGATCAACGGGAAGTGTTCCCACTGCAATCCCGGCTGGATTGGAGATCGGTACACAATTTTGGCCATTGTAGCCAACTGTTATAAAAAAAAAATAGCTGTTAATGAAACAAGAACAAAACAAAAATGCAAAGTTGACAAGTGAGGGGGGAATTGACTAAAAATAAGAATTATGTCTACTGACAGCACTGTTTATTTACATATACTATCTGCATTGTTTTTAGTGAAGCACCCACTTAAGGAATTATGCACATCAAATAATAATAGAAACATTAATTGAAGTACATAAAACCATTTATACATCAATACACTACCAAATAAAACATTTGTGGTTGGTAAGATGTTTTAGTGTTCATGAAATAAGTATCTTGTGCTCATCAAGGCTGCATTTATTTGATTAAGAACTGTAAAATTGTAAAATATTATAATAATTTCAAATAATCATTTTCTATTTTAATATATTTTAAAATGTAATTTATTCCTGTGATATAAAGCTGAAGTGTCAGCATCATTACTCCAGTCTTCAGTGTCACATGATCCTTCAGAAATCATTCAACCTGTGACATTTTTTTTCAGGACTCTTTTTTACTCATTTATTTGAAACAGTAATCTTTTGTAACATTATAAATGTCTTTACTCTCACTTTTGATCAATTTATTGTCTCTTGCTGAATAAAAATATTAATTACATTAAAAAAAAATCTTACCCCAAACGTTTGAACATATAAATGTTAATAAATAGCTGAATTCAATAAATAAAACAGCAATAGCATCAGGCAAATAATGCTGAATAAAGCACAGTCTACAATACTAATATTTGCAATTAAGAGAATTATAATGGTGCTATAAACCAGCTTGATTAAACTAAATTGCATGTGATTAGTGATTAAAACAGAGGTTTTTGCTATGAAATATCATACCCAATAGTGGAAGTATACCAAGTGTTTAAGTGAATTCATCTCTGAAAGTTTTCACATGTTGCTGCTCTTTAACTCTTTCCCCGCCAGCATTTTTGAAAAAAGTTGCCAGCAACAAAAATACACACGCTCGCGTCATGATACTATCGTAAACACACGTCCAAAGTGATGCAGTAGAGACGAAAATGTGGAATAACGTCGTTATTTCTGTTTTCTTTGCGCAAAAAAGTATTCTCGAAACTTTGTAACTTTACAGTTGAACCACTGATGTCACACGGACTACTTTGTCGATCATCTTGGTACTTTTCTGGACCTTGAACGTGGTAGTTACCTTGCTGTCTATGGGAGGGTCAGAGAGCCCTCAGATTTCATCAAAAATATCTAAAATTGTGTTCCGAAGATGAACGAGGGTCTTACGGGTTTGGAACAACACGAGGGTGAGTAATTAATGACAGAATTTTCATTTTTGGGTGAACTAACCCTTTAAGTATTTTCTTGGAGATTGTTTCGATGAAAACTAAAATCAAATTTGAAATTGACCAGCATTTGTATAACCTCTACCTCTTTCTCTCTCTGTATTCAGCTGTGAGGTGCGCTGTCCTAATGGCACCTATGGAGAAAACTGTGAAAAAGACTGCAGCCATTGTTTTAATGGAGACTGCCATTTTTCCACAGGAGAGTGTCTCTGTAACCCTGGCTTCTATGGGACATAGTAAGTCACATCTGAATCATGCACAAATTAAGGTCATCTTGATATCTAGGTCTGTTTTCATTAACCAATAAATCATCCTGAGTCATCCTAAATTGTTTAAAGATGAGGTTACCTTTAAACAAATTACAGTGTGCAAAACAGGACACCAAAAGTGATTAAATGTGCATTGATGCTTTGTAAACAGAGGCACTAAACATGTCCATCATAGAAAGACATGATGATCCTCAGAGGAGCATCACATAAACACATAATTGTATGTTTTGTGAGGAAAAGCATATCTTTGCCCTTATAACAGAAGGAAAGCATTTTTGATACTCTGTTGACTATAATTACGATTGCAAGACTTATTAATATTCTGAATATTCTGAGTGTGAATCACTTAAATGTTCAGATTTCACTTAAACTTTGTACAGAAGACAATTTCAGTCTTACGGTATCTGTTTTTTGGTTTATCAACTTTTTATTAAAAAATATTTCTGTAATGGCAAATCTGAATTTTCATTCTAATATGCTGATTTGCTGCTTAAGAAACATTTATTACTTATTATAATCAACGTTGTAAATAGTTGAGCTGCTTAATATTTTTGTGGAAACCTTTACAGTTTTTTTTTTCAGAACTCTGATGAATAGAAAGTAAAAAAACTGCATTTATTTGAAATCGACATCTTTATAGATTTAGATTTCTGTTTATTTCTTAATACAATAAAAACAAAATCTTTACTGTCACTTTTGATCTATTTAATGCATCCTTGCTGAATACAAGTATTAAGTGCATTTAAATAAAAATCCTACTGACCTCAAACTTTTGAATGATAGTGAGAAATTAAATAAACAAATATAAATTGTTAGAATATTCAGCTTTCACATCTAAAATGGCCAACAGTGATATCCTTGTAATATCTGCAAATTACTTTTTTTTCACTTGATCAGATTATTTCAATCTATCTGTTGAGTAAGACCAATCTAAATATTAAACACTATTGAAAATTATTCTAATATTTACCACAAACTACACTTGAATCATATTCATATCATACCTTTATTTTCGGTCAGAGATCAGAGTTCATTGTTACTTAAAACTTTTTTTTCTCAGAAAGACACTTTAAAATGTTTTGTCAGTTTCAGTTCAGAGTCTTTAAATGAGAATATCTGTTCTTGTTTCATTCATTGCAAATGCTAAATTCCTCTTCCCTGTTCATGCATTTCCAATATCAACATAATTGTCTTTAATTCCCCAAGCAAGCTGCCTTGTTCCATTTTCACTGGAAACTCCTGTTGCTATGTGCACACAATGCTTGTATTGATTTTTGATTCATCAGTGTTGTTTATGTGCTCTTTGTATTCCTCTTCATTTTAGCTGCAACCTGACCTGTGAGTTGGGTCAGTTTGGAGTGAACTGTGCCCAGGTCTGTCCATGTCACGACAAGAACTGCAACCCAGTGTCAGGAGCCTGCAACCTATGTAAGAAACCCTTCCTGACCCTCTTTGGAAAAAGCAAATGTAATTTCTCGAGCTTTCTGTGATGTCATTTGCTATTAAGACACAGAAGAACTCCTAAAGTGTTGAGACATATTTGTGGGGTCCAGCATCAGTCATATTTTCCATTACGTTAAAGGGAGGGGGGCGGGGGGGACAGCTGCCCAGTTGACGCCAAGGTCAACTTAAGATTAAACCTTTTGACTCTCAACTGATTTGCGAGCACGTCGGTTACTAAAGGTGGAACATTTTAGATACAGCAAATGCAGCATGACATAACGTCATGATCATTATACACATTATGCATTATATCACAGCCACCCTGATTTTTCCAGGCTAAACTGTTTTTGTCAATGGTGTGCAAAATGGGTATTTTTTCCCCCAAAAATACAAAGTTCCATACAGGACAAAAAAAGTACCATTAAAGTATGTAAGTGTCGCTTTCCATTAAAATATGTAAATATATCTCTATACAAGAAGACTTATTTTCAGAGTATACATTTTTACCCAAAGGCTTTATATATAATGCATTATAAAGGTATTCATAAAGTACGTTCTAATGCATTATATCTTTTCATAAATAATTGCAAACAAATATATTATAATATTTGAAGGTTTGTTTGTCAGGTGTTTTAATGCATTATACTTTATAAAAGTATAACAATGAAAAAATACGTTTTAGAATGTATTGTAACTGTTGAGGTCATACAATGCATTATAAGGCATAACTAATGCATAAAAACTACTTTTGGAATGCATTTTATATAAATTCTTGAAGTAAAGTGTTACCATATTTTTCCTACCCCACTGACAAGTACTTTTAGTCTTGTTAAGCAAAAGTTTTGTTAGGTTTATGCTTAAAACAATACAAAATATTTGCCTTTGGAGTAAGAAAAATACATTTATTTCCAAGATATATTCTCTGAAAACAAGTCTGATTGTCCTTATAAATTGATCTTATTTTATCAATGTTAATATATTTTTACAAAAACGTGCTGTTTACCAAAACATCTAAATAATCAAGAAAAGTAACACTTTCATAACCTAATAAAAAACATTTCCCAGAAAATAAAATTGTTAGCTAGAATGCTAATGAAAAAGCATATTTGTATTTTTTCTGGCAGTACATAGGATTTGTGTGCTTTATTCGAAGTTGTCGAAGCCGTTTGATTGCTTTGCGTGAGATACAGACCCAAAATTCAATTCATCACTCACTACTCTTTAAGCTAGTGTATATATAAGGCTCATTAACTTCAATGCAGCATAATCTTCAATATCACTGGATTAAAGTTATTTCTGGATTAAGGAATGAGGTTAAAATCATTCGTTTTTCTTCAAAAATATATGAGAAGCTTGTTGTGCAGGCAAATAAAAACACAGTTGCTATTGGTAACATGCCTGTGTAGTCCTCACTTTGTAGGTCACTGCCGTAGACAGCAGCAGTTTAACATGGCGGCCCTGATGGTGTTTCCAGAGTGGTGTCTTATTTTTACGGCTGTGTTTTTTGGCTCTGTTCCTGCCTGCTTGTCGAGTTAGTGAGAGCCGAGGTTGTTTCACACAGCTGAGAGAAATACTACAGGAAGAGAGCAAGAGAGAGAGAGACAGTAATGAGGAAAGGTGTGGGTCAGCAGAGGTTTCACAGGGACCTGAGTGAAGGCAGTAATGAAGTCACCATGGCCGACCTCAATGAGGCCTTCCTCGAACACAGCTGTGCTTTCAGGACATGTGTGGATGTGCCCACACCCGGACTGAGCTCCACACTTCTGTGACAGAATCTACAGCACAAATCAAAGAGTCAAATGGGTTGTCATCAGTTATTATGCTTTAACTGTTTTCAGTTGGGTTTTTAGAAGCAAATGTTTGCACAAGGAATATTATGAGAGGAATATTTGGGTTCAGCTGAAAATCATTTCCGTTTAACAAAAAGGAGTAGCTCACTCCAAAATGAACATTTGCTGAAAATGTACTCTCCCTCAGGCCATCCAAAATGTAGATGAGTTTACAACTCCAGTCCATCGATTAATATCTTGTGAATAGAAAGACTGTGTCTCTGTAAGAAACAAATTTATCAAGATGTTTTTAACTTCAAGCGTCTATCCTTAATATTGTTTTCTCTCCAATAAAAAAGTAGCCTAATCTGAATCAGGAGAGAAATATGCACAGATCAAGCACTGTTTACAAGTAAAAACAGTTCAAAACAGTTGTTATCAAATACGTGGATGAATATTGATGTGAGAGGACGACAGAGGATGGACTTTTTCATTGGGGAAACGATATTATGGATTATGGACTCATATTTTGGCCAGATGTGACAGTTTAAAGTTAAAACACCTGAATGATGGATTTGTTTCTTATAACACTGAGCTTGATAGACTGGAGTGGTGTGGATTATTATGATGTTTTTATCAGCTGTTTAGACTCTCATTCTGACGGCACCCATTCACTGCAGAGGATCCATGGGTCAGCAAGCGATGTAATGCTAGATTTCCCCAAATCTGTTCTGAAGAACTGATGAACAAACTCATTCACATCTTGTATGACCTGAGGTTGAGTAAATGTATTGCCAATTTAAATTTTTGGGTGAACTATTCCTTTAAATTTGAAGTACAAATTTTATACGGCTTTACTTTTGGACATTTTTGAAGTTGCAAAAATATAAAAAAATTACATAACATGTTGGATGCACCATATTTTTCGTCTGGATCATCCAAGGCCAGTAATTATTTCAGTATGTATTATTGAGCTTATAACGATAAACGATCCAGACAAAAAAAATACGGTGAATCCAACAGCTGAAATTCTTCATTCTCACCAGTGCCAAATTAAGCATCCCAACATTGTCTATGTTTATGAACGGAAGAGCCAAATAGCTAGACTTTATGCTCCAGTGATAATGCCTGTTGGCAACAGATGCAAAGAAGCCACTGGCAGACGTCCCGCGTCTCACAGCACACAACTGCTAGCTCTTAAACTCCTGAACTCGTGTAGTAATTGCGAGGACATTTAATTCATTTCCGCAGAGTGTTCTTTAAGTTCAAGGAAATTTAAAACCTGTTTAATCTAACATTTGCAATGATGCAACATGAAATTATTCTGTGTATCAATTTGAAATTACTACACGGCTCTTGATTTTGATTGGTCAATTGCGGCATTCTGCAGGGTACTTATAAGGATCATTAACTTTCATGCTGTGTAAACTTCAGCATTACTGCATTAAAAAGACTAAAAGAGTTTATTTCTCTTTAAAAATCCATAAGATTTGTTCTGTAGTCAAAATAAACTGCTTTTTGCATGAATGGAATTGGTTAACTTCTGTACATTTTTCCTTAGCAGGCAAAATTCAACCTGTTTAATGTGAAACGCCATGTGCAATAATGCAACATGAAATTATTCTTAGTTTGAATTTGAAATTCAGTATTTTCAATTGCTTCTCAGACTTTGAGCATTTAAAAGAAGGTTTCACCTGTTGTTCTGCACAACTCAGTTGCATCTTGGTCTCCTACTACAGCCATGTTTTCATCAGGGAAGCTTTGAGTTAAATTGGAAACTTGACACTCTCTTTCTGTCTGTCTTTCTCTCAGATCCTAATCAGCGGATGGGAGTAATAGCTGCGGGAACGCTGGTGACATTCCTGCTGGTGGTTCTTCTCTCTCTGCTGTGCTGCTGCTTCCTCTGTAGCAACAAAGACAACCGCAAGTAAGCACAAATCAACACTAGTTTCACAATCCAGTTCTTAGTAAGTCCCAGCCTTCTGTATTAAAAGGATAAAATACTTTCTCCAATTACAGTTTAATATGCAAGACAACATTAGAAGTTTATTTACCGATTTTAGTGAGTTTAAACATTAGGCCTCATTCATGAACCTTTCACAAATATGAGTAATTTGCACATAAAATGGACTTTCTCAACTCTGCGAAAGAATTCGCAAATGCTGTGTAAACCTCAGATTTGATAGGTAAACGTGTATGTTAATGAATTCCAATCATTTGTAAATAGGACGCCTTCATTATTTGAGTGGTTTGACATCAAAATTTGGCTAAACCAGTAGTGTAAGTTTGAGGCAGAACTACTTTAGATAGAACTTGCATACTTCACCTATAAATAAAAATAATTAAAAAGTATTGAGAGTGTCAGATATTCTCCTTCCCCAATTATATAATCAGATATACTAGTTTAAACTCAAACACAATACCATTAAAAAGTTTGGGACTTATGCTCACCACGGCTGCATATATTTGATCAAAAATACAGCAAAAATTTTAAAATGTTTAAATATTATTACAATATAAAATAAGCATTTTCTATTGTAGTATATAACAAAATGTAATTTATTCCTGTGATGCAAAGCTGAATTTTCAGCATTATTACTCCAGTCTTCAGTGTCGCATAATTCTTCAGAAATCAACAATGTGATGATTAGCTCAAAAACATTTCTTGTTAGCAAAGTTGAAAAGAGTTGTGCTGCTTAATATATTTGTGGACATGGTGATGCATTTTTTCAGGATTCTTTCATTTCTTTATAATATAACAGCTTTAAACAACTAGTCTAGAGTGGTTCTGCTCAAACTGTACAAACTGTTTGTGAACACAGCTGTATTTGGTGCTGTAAAACCAGACTGACAGCCATATTCTGCATCGACAGTGTGAACGTGGCCCTTGTGTCTCCCTCAAATGCACTCTGTTCTTACACCCCTGGCAAAAATCATCTTTTAACAAAGCCTGTCATCAGAATTGTTCACAGTTCGCTGAAGTGAAAGCCTCTTCTGTTCTCCGCAGTCAGTCAGGAAAACTCAAGACTCTCGTGTTCTAGAAATCACAGTCGGCTGTTTTCTTAAACTTTCCACCTTTTCTAAATGGCTGGAAAACTAAAGAACGTAAGACCAACTGAGCCTAGATTTCCTCAGTTTGCCCGTGAGGCAAATTAATCCCTCCATTTCTTCCTTATTTGAACATCATATCTACAATCTCTATGCAGTTTATGCTAGAAGGCAATCGATCTACAATAGCACACATCTACAATATTCAATCCATTTCTAGTCAGTGCAATGTTGGTCTAAAGTCACTCTTCCTCATTTAGCCCTGACCAGGAAAACTCCACCAACAGCAAGAAGGCCAAAATAATCCTCTGCGGCGGATTCAGTCGAATCAGCACCAAACTTCCCAGAATCCCTCTGAGGAGACAGAAACTACCCAAAGTTGTTGGTATGTCTTCATTTTCCATCATCTAAAATTACATATGGTTTAGGTCAGTGTGTCATGAGTAAAAACATCCATGCAAAAGATGAAAGATGCACTTAATATGATCTGCCTGATGTTTAGTCTTCAATGATTTAACAAAAACAGCATATTTAGCAAGTATGCTTTTTGTGTTAGAGCGTATTTTGATGTGTATATATCTCCCTCAGCCTAAACAGACAGTGACATTTTTACATGTTGGCAAAATAAACTTTTAACTATACCTTTATTTTTTGAAAACTTTTCAAATCTAGTTTAATAGCAGAAACAACTGTAAGATACATTCTGGTTCAGCTAAAGGGAGTGTAACTGCAGGATGCAAGCCTCAAGTGACATTTATAACAGTTTAACACTTTTTTTAACCCAACACATCTTAAAAACAATTGGGCCACTGATAAAACCATTGAGTTGCCATGCAATGTCGGGACACACTGCAAGTCTGTGTCATGTATGAACTCCCTTATAGTTCACCCAAAAGTGAAAATTAAGTCATCATTTATTCACACTGGTGGTGTTCTCATGCTCTATGTCGTAAGGAGAAATTTTAAGAAATGTCCCGTTCATGCTTATTCATTTAATGGCAGTAAATAGCAACCAGCATCAAGCTTTAAAAAAAAAAAAGATTAATAAAAACACAGCATGAAATAATGTCAAAAAAGTATCTGCATACTTTTTCCACTGTTGAATATCTCTGGTTGTCTGATGACAGAATGATTGTTCTGTTGGCACATTTTATTTATTTATTTTTTATAAGTGTGTTTTTGTGCTTGTACCTTGGCTGGTTTAAGCCTGTCATGGATAAATATGACACTAAAACTGCCAGTAGGTGATGGCAATTAAGTCCCTGTGTAACGGGGCTGACGAGAAACGTGAGACGTGTGGATCCATCTGCAAGCTTTTATTCAAGAGATGTGGTCATAGCAGGCAGGGTCGAACAATGGCAAACAGGTCCTAGGGCTAGCGTAGGTCAACGATCGGCAGACAGAATCACAGGGGCGAGACGAGAGGGATAAATCCAGGAAAACAGAGTGATTCATTGAATCATTCATTCAAACAATTTGTTCAAAATGAAGCGTTCTAACTGCATTCCCAAGCCCAAAGTAATGTATACTTTAGTTTTTTTTACACATAGCGTAATGCTAGCGTATGCATGTAGCCAAATGCGTAGACTTCCTAAGTATACTCCATTTGATAGCATACACGAATGCAGACGTTCGCCATGCGCTCAAGAAAGCTTCATCTTTACAAATGTATATTTGTAAACTGTTTGGATTAGACAGCATTTTTAGTTCCTGATGAGCTGTTGTTAAAAAAAACAAAAAGATTACAAAGGGGTGTTACATCTGAATATTTTTACACACATACAGATTTGATTGATTTGATAGCATACACGAATGCAGACTGTTGACATGCGCTCAAGAAAGCTTCATCTTAGTCCAATGTCTGCTTTATGCTAGTTATGACTGATAAATATGTATTTGTACTGTTTTAAACTAAAGTTCAACAGTTCTCATAACCCTCTCACACAAGTACTTGTCAATGCAGGCATCTGTTGTTGTTCCGTCTCTTTAGTTTCGATTTCTACTGTGAAACAATGGCTTGGGTCAGTGTTGCCACCTTGTGGAACAACTGATTAGTGCAAAACCAAGTCAATGCCCATGTGCGACCTGCACATATGCTCCATCACATAGTAAATGCTCACATAGTAAGTGTTTTTTTGTTTTTGAGGGCGTGTACATCGTTAAAACAACATTTACGATATTGTCATAAACTATAAATATTGCAAACCCCTAACAATTTTTATTTTTTTTTTATGCTTCATGGTATAAGGATGAGTAAACTATGACACAGTTTTAATGTTTGGGTGAAACATCCCTTTACCCAAATCATTTGTTGGTTGACTACTCTGTGGTGCTTTCAAATCATTGCTGTGTTTGATCTGTCAAATCAACTTCTGACTCAACCAATGGCATGAGTTTGGGGCGGGGCCCTTTGTTTGTCTGACCATTGGCAGAAAGGGGAGTTTTTGGGAACCTGTTTGGAAGGAATCCTAATTAAAGCAATTCTTATTGGTGCTGCTACTGGTTAAGAGCTTCAGTCGGATTGAAAAGCGCTCCGCGTTGACCCAAACAAAATCTTTAGGGTTTCATCTGAATGGAATGCTTTGGGTGCTCGTTTTATTTCCCTTGGCTCCCTGTGAAGTTCGAGTCCTTATTAATCTGTACCCAAACAGACATTTGTTTTCTTATTCCCCGCATTTCTTTCCTCATTTCCCTATTTCTTGTTAAAACAGACGGCTGGGAGCTGACTGTTCCCCAATCGAAGACTCCTCTGTTTTTGCCAGGATGGAACCCCTGTGTGGAGTTCTTGTGGTTGGGGAACTGTATTGGCTGCGGCTGCGAGGAGAGGTTTTAGAGAGAATATTAAAGTGGCCATGAAAGCATATTATACATTTTCGAGGCAGTGTTGTTTGTGATATTCATTTTGGACTTGAATTCGTCTCAGAGAGCAAATTGCAAAAGGCATGGCATATTTGAGTTAGCACCGCCGAACAGTAAAGAAAGTGAGTTGGGCTTTTTAAATATAGAAAAATGTGGGTTGGTTTTGCTGTGGAGTTTTACAGCTGTTTTGCTTTAGTATGCATAAATAAAAGAGGTCAAAAACTACACCAACTCACATGCTTTCCACAACTGAATGATTCACTTTTAAGGGAAAGCTCACACAAAAATAAAAACTCTGTCATCATTTGCTCACCATCAACTTGTTCCAAACCGTCTTAAAAACAACTCACAATTTTAACAAAATGCAGAAGCTGCTCTTTTTCATACTGGTCAAGTTCCCCCCCAAAAAAAAAAAAAATGAACATAACATTTTCCCCGGAACACATGTATTTCTATTTCAAGCCTTCTGAAGTCACACATTACATTTGTGGGGAACAAACCATTTATTTCAAGTACTCAAATATCATTTACACTTATGCATATACGAAGTTGACACATTGCAATCAGATAAACTTGGTTGATATAAAAATGAATGATATCAAATTGGTGACATATTTGAAAAAGAAAAGACACATGAGAATGATATTTGAAAGCTACAGTTGAGATTTAAAGCCCCTGGTCACTTTGTGCTTTTGATTTATGGAGAAAAAAAGCAGTCTGAATATAAAGATAAAATATAATTTGGCTGCGGAGTGAGTAAATGATGACAATGTAATTTTCAGTGGACTACTTCCATTTAGCTTGCACTTGAATATGTCTGAAATATCATTGCATATAAAATTGTATATTTATATAAACATTACAATAAAAAATACAGGAAACTCAAAAGATTTAAGTTAACATATTTGTCAATGTAAGATGTGAAAGACAAAGAAAGACAGCACAAGCACAGTTTTAAAGCAAAACATTTGACAACAAGAATCCTGATAGGTTTTAAATGATAAAAGAATAGATAATCAGTTGAAAATGGAAAATATTTTGAGAATAACATGTCTAAATGTGTAAAATGTTCATACTTAATGTGATTCTCTACACCTGTGGTTAGTCTGCTAAGAACTTCAGGAGAACTGACTTTATAGATCCACTATAAAACACCAAAACACCAGCTGACTAAAAGGCTTTGAGCAAAAATTAAGAAAAAAAGTTCTGAGAAAAGCCCGTCACAATGTGACCTAAGTCTCCAAAAGAGCCACTTGGATCATCTCCAAACAAAAATCAAAGATCAATTGAATTCTGATTTTACGAAGAACATGGATGGCACAGTTTTATTTAAAACACACAATACCCCAGTGTATGGGTAACAGGTGGTCACGGGTGAGCACTATTTAGTTATTTAATGACCGAGAGAAAGCCCAGAGCCATGCTGTCCTCCAAGAGACACGTGCTTCCACGCTAATTTACCACATTACCACAAGTTAAGAGTCACTGCCATCAGAACAGAGTAAAGAAAAATCCTCTGTAAAACAATAATGTCACTGTTGGTTAGGGTCGAGTATGGCCTGCAGATTGTTTCAATAAAACTCCTCAAGCTGTAAAACCCTGGACAGACAACAAAGAATAAGCAAGTAGTAAAATGCAATAAGAAGATGGCACTTTAGCTGAAGAGATATGCTCTCGAACATAAACCGGCCCTTTCATCCTCAGACTTTATGAGAAAATTGAGTGAGAATGCATGTAAAGCATCTCTTTCATCTGACAAATCAAAAAGTGTTAAATGACTTCAGGAACTGCCAAAATCAATGCAAAATGTTTCTTTTCACGCTCACTCTAATTTGGTAAACAATTGGGGTTTGCGATAACATATGAGAGGAAGAACTGCAAGCAAACGCAGATGTAACGTTTACCCCGTTCTCTTCCCAACCCCCTCCAACTCTTTACTTAATGGGAGGAGCTGGATGAAAATATTGCTCTCTGGTTCCCTCTTTTTCCTCTTCCTCCTTTTCCTGTTGCAAGCCAGTGGTTCTGCTATCCTCATTGGCCGACTGCAGCAGTGAGGTCTGCTATTTTTCCCTTTCTTTTCTTCCCCCACTTTTTTTTTGTAACTCTACCCTCATAGGAGAGCAAGCGGGGGGCTGGGGGTTCTTCAGACAGGAAGTGACCAAGTTTACCACAGTGTGCTTTTAGAGCCCTGTTTACTCATCCATACAGCTGGTAATGACAGATTTAGAATAAAAAAAAAGAATGAAAACGTTTACCCCTTCATCTCCTAGTGACCTACATTCTGTCTCTCCATAATTCAGATGAGTAGTTTAGGAGAAATATTTCTACAGTCAATCTGTTTTGAAGCGAACAGCCGTATTTGGATTATTCTCACAAAAAAAGAACACGTCCAAGAACACACACAAAATATAATAAAAAATTATATTTTGCTCAAAATAAACAGCATATTTTAGGCCCATCACGATAAAGCACAAATTTCCCTCTACCATATTGTCAGATATTTAAATTATATTATATCAAATAAAACATGTAATTATAATATATAATATGTATTAGTGTATATTAATGTATATATTAATGTGTATTTTTATAAACATTTTTATATACAATAATTTCTAATATGCATTATACTTGTACATTTTTGTTTTTATTTTATTCAATCTAAAATCTAAAACCATATATAAACGAATACTAATTTAACTGAAATTACAATAATATGGTACACTGCACATACTGTAGTTTTATCTCTCCAAAAATCACTATTGAGAAAGAGGGAATTAAAAAAAAATGGAAAAAGTAAAACATCTGGATGCATTGCATATTAAGAATTTGGTTAGGGGCTTAAACTTCATGAAAATAATGTCACAATGCAAAAAAAGTCTGAGTACATTTTTTTTTTAAAGGGGTCACATGATGTTGCTAAAAATAACATTATTTTGTGTATTTGGTGTAATGAAATGTGTTTATGCGGTTTAAGGTTCAAAAAA